TTATTTTGCTTGGGGGCAAGTTGAAGGAACTTTCGCACGAAAACCTTTTCACGAAATATTGCGATCTAAGATTTTACTTTTCCTAAACCCATGGTCACTTCTGCGTTCAATTTTGATTTTGGATAATGCTCGCATTCATACCGACGTACTCTCCAGAGCTAAATCCAATCGAGGTATAATTTTCTCTTTCAAAGCGATGGATTCAAAAGCACGCGAACATGGCGTTTAGAGAGAACCCCGTGGCTGTACTCCGCATACCAATTAGCATGTGTACTAAAACCACGACGATGTAGGAATATAACTTTATAGACACTGTGGGTATAGTGATAAAAGGTAAACTATCAAATAGAAAATCACAATAAAAGTTAGCTTTCAAATAAAAGGTCCTCCTCGTTTTTATCTTCATCATCCTTGATATCCGCACTTTCGAACAGAGGGGATCCGACAGGCTCGCGGTTGGGTTGTCAAAATGGCGGACGTAGATTCCAGTCTGGAAGTCCTAAAACTCGACGTAGTTGACGAATATTGACGCGAATAGGAACTTCAACGTTGTGTAACATGATTCAAAATGTCGAATATGCATCGCTGTGCATTTCTACAGCGGCAGCTGCGTTCTGATCAACAATGTTTTGTTGTTAATCAATGTACTGAAGTTGTTGGAACGTCGAACTTGTCGGCACTTCCAGGGCGCATCAGAGAGGGGGGGGGGGTCTTGGTTGAGTTGCAGCCATGTACAGCGTCGTCGCTGGCCCAGCGGATTCTTCTCTGCTGCGTAAAAAATCAGCTACAAGTGGAAGTTGCTCCTGCATTCTAGTCTGCGTTGCACGCCTTATTGTCGTAGGAGGAGGGGTTTTATCGCATGTAGACGAATAATTCTATCTCGAATTCAGACCGACCCCCTTTTACGAAGTCGTGCGCGTCTCCAGAGCATCTCGAGCTGCTGAATTAGCTCGTAGACGGTGGTCGCAATTGGCTGGAAAGCTTCTGTGATGCATTATTGCTACGCTTTACGTATACGATTGTGCTTGAGTCGAGCGCTTTTCCTATTTCAGATTGAAACTTGGACTCGACCTTTGCCCGAAGCACAGAACGACCATCACAGACTGTAAAGTCAAATCGAGCTACTCTTCCCTTGTCCCGGCATCTTCCCATTGGCTCTCCTTTTTGGATAGTCAAGCAGCAGCGAACTAATGAAGGAAGAGTGTCTTCAGCTGCATTTTCTACGAGGTGCCTCTGCATCTTGTTGTCAAAACGAAAGTGGTTTGTTTGTTTGGGGCTAAGGATATTTAAAATACATGTACGAGTACATTGATGACCGTTTGACACATACGCCGACGTCGGTTTGGCAAAGTGGTAAGCAGACTTTAGGTTTACCATAACCGCTCCCAAATCCTGATTAAGAAATCCTTACAAGACGGCAAAGTATGTAAAACGGACAATACTACAACTTAGTTACATCACGACAACAAACCGATCACAGCAACACAAGGCGTGGTTGTGTTGCTGGGTAGTTTATCGTGATATATTCTACTCAGAAAATCGCAATAGCAAGAAAGAAAAAAATCACAAGATCTTTTTCTGCTAAGTTCGAAACACATTAAGTACGAAACGTGCTGGACTCTCATTTCGTTTCGTATCGACGGAGGGAGAAGTGTAAAATGGCGAACCAGAGAGCGCGCGAACCTGCGCAAGCTACAGGTAGGCTAAAGCCGCCAAAATGACCGGCTACGTTCTACCAACACCTGCACTAACTTATGATGCTGTGGTTTGTCTGTATAGGTCACTGGTTACGCAAGAGGAAGCCTGTGGACTACGTTCGATCTGTTCACGGATTTACCCGTGACCCTTCCAGCAACGAAGACTACGTTGATGACCCTTTTGCGATGACAGACGATGTAGCGAATGAAGAGGCCAACATGGGGAGCCTCGAAGGAGAAGAGAACAACGAGGTGATTGCTGACGACACCGTGCCTGTAGACAATAAAGACGCGGAAGAAGACGGCTCCGGGCGAGAAAGACGTGAATATGGGCGGAGAATAACGTGGATGTGGAGACCAAGAACGCGCCGGCGGCTATGACGGGCCCAGGAAGTGGTGACGCAGCATTGGGCACGAGCGATGACGTTGGCACGACTACCGCCGCAACCAGCGCGAGTGGAGGTGATGACTCAACGGCAAATATCAATATTGAGTTGCTCATATTTTTGCTTGTCTTCTTTTGTAGTGACTGGGCTGTGCGTCGATGCGGGCAAGAAGGACGCGTGTGCCAGTGCTGCGACCACGGCGAAGGACGACACGCCAGAGTCGATGCCGAACGACAGTAATGATAGTGCGGGTCCGGAGGCGCGCGATTCAAATGTGGACGAAGGTGACGCGAATATGGAAGATGGTGATGCGGCTGTTGACTCGAATGTGGTAGTTAGTGACGCGAATGTGGATGAAGGCGATGCGGACGCGGATGTGGACGCGAATGTAATGTGAAGACGCGACAAGGCGTCGTTAACTTCAAGCCAGGTTTGGCGAAGAAGTCGCTCAAGAGCTGGGAAGAGTTTTAGCAAGTGCTTCACCATTACGAAGCCAACATTTTCTCCATTTACGCGTCCGGAGATCCGAAACCCAAGCCAGGAACAACAGGCGCAAAGTTATGGTGGTGGAGAAAGAGATGAATGTTACAAACATGTTAACAGCTAATGTGTTGCTCTCTTTGTTGATCGTTTTGTTGTACTAGCCGTGCTAACGCAACACGTATACTAGAGCGCGTTTCGCACAGCTTCCAGCGTATGTGGTGTACACATGGCTCAACGCAATCCTCCCGCGGCGAAGGTCTCCGCATTTGTGCGTTGAGGTACGATGTATGTGTGGCGAGCTTCCTGGTACGGTGTGTCAAGGTTGTCAAACAGGGTATGGCTGCACGGGAGGTGCAATTGGAATCGGACACTGAGGTAAGATGAGTTATTTCTCGATTGTTGCAAAACTAAATTCTCATTTGGATCCATATTTTCAGATATCTACGCACAACCACGAAACAAACAATTTCATTTTTGACTCGTATCGTGAAGCAAAGTTCATCTCGATTCCGTCCCAGGTTCACCGAGAGTTTGGGCTCTTGACGGATATGAAGACGAGCACTTCGAATATCAACCGATTTCTGTCGAAGCAGCTTGATGGGTCCCAGTGATGAGTTTTTAGCTGTTGTTGTTTTTTGCTTTGATACTTACTAAGATTCAT